TACTCTGGTAAGACATCAGAGACTACAAGAAGGGCTCCAGCAAAGGAAATTCCAAGAAGGTTGAAAGGGCATAGGCATAACTTGGTAGTTGCTGCCTCTGGGAATCCTTCCTGACTCACCCTGGCAGGGACAGTGCAGTTGTCCTCACCTTTGTGTCGACCCATATCTGCGTGTATGTGAAATTCTTCACTGTTGCAGTTGTACATCTTGTGCAGTTTGTCATCATTACTTGTTTAGGTGGCTTTAGCTGTCCTCCCTGAGGGGCTGAACACTTTGAGGGGTTCATCCTCTCCATGGTCCTGTGCCAGCATTATGGCACTGGAATAGTACTGGCACAAAAGAGGTGTCAGTAAAATGTCGATTGAGAGAGGGAGGGAGTGAATTTGAGCAGAGGCTTGTAGGTTATTTCCATTAATGGTTGACTGTGTTTTCAACTCCATCAGCCTGTGTTCCTTGGTAGTGGATACAACGGAGTCATTAGATGAGGAATCAGAGGCCTAATCCCTCTGAGTTTCAGTTTTCTTATCTAAAAGGAGCATGCTGCTGCTGATACAGTTGTGAGGTTCAAAAGAGAGACTGGAATTGAAAGCCAATAGTATAAATAAATGGAGAAAGGCCTATCATTTGTTTAAAATATTTTATAGCATTTTCTTAATGTGAAGCACTGGTCTGTATGCTTACATTGGAAGATTAAAAAGACAAAACAGAATCCCTACCCTCAAGGAGCTTGTGGCCTTAGAGGAAGGAGGGATTTAAAAAAATGTAATATTAAGCAATAGTATTTGTTGAATGCTTGCAGTGTGCTAGGCATTGTGCTAAGTATTAGAAATGAATTCCTATTTGAGCTTTATGACAGCCCCTCAGGCATCAGGTATTATTCTCATTCCCACCCTACTGATGAAAAAGAAGTGGAGGTCCCTTAGCTGGTAGGTGGAAGAACCAGGGCTTGGACCTTAGGCCAGGTCATTGCATACAGAGCCTGCTCTGCTAAGCACTGCTGAAGGAGGCCCAGGAGGAAGGAGTTTCCTCCAGCTGGGGGCTCCAGGCAGGCTTAGTGGAACACAGATACTATGTGTACAACTCGAAATGTTTGGAGGAAGCATTATGAACCAGGAGAAAGGCAAAAAAATAACTTGTTTGATGTTGCACTCGACTATATAAATCTATTTGTGCACTGGAGTTACTTTCTTGAGTGTACTTTGCAACTTGGCAAAGAATAGAATTTGCTTATGTTGTCTACACACACTTGTTGCTATGGGGCACTGAGCCAGGGCATCTGGGATAGGAGGGAGCAAGCCTTAGGTGACCCGTGTTCCACAGAAGAGGAACAGCTCAGATAGGGACATGTGTGGTGATTGAGACCTATGAAAGAAAAGTAGATTTTCAGAAAGCATCATTGTCATTTTAAATGCTGGATTATACTCTGGTTGCAATGTCAGAGTTATGAACAGTGAAACTGTCATTTCTTTGGCAATTAAATCCCTGAAAACTTGGCTAGAACTTTACTAATCTATCTTATTTTTCTTTTGAAAGAATTATAGATTCATAGTAAGTTACATAGATGGTACCAAGAAGTCTATGTACTTTTCATCCAGTTGCCTCAGTGGATCTTATGTAACTATTACACAGTATCAAAACCAGGAAACTGAGACTGGCACACAAAGTTTGTGTATTATGAAGTTCTACTGTTTTATCACATGTGTAGATTACCACCAGTGCAACACAGAACTAAGTCATCACCATGCAGTTACCACTTATCGTCATATCTACTCTCCTTACCTTCAGTTATCTCCAAACCCTGGTAACCACAACTGTTCTCCATTTCTGTGAATTTGTCATTCAAGAATGTTATATATATAAATGGAATCATACAGTATATGACCTTTTGAAGTTGAGTTTTTTTATTCAGCATAAAGTCCTAGAGATCCATCTAAGTTGTTGTATGTTTCAATTATTTGTTCCTTTTTATTGCTGGGTAGTATTCCAACCAATCCATCTGCTTTCATATTATTGTGCATTGAAGGGTTGTGGTCTCCTGAACAGAAGTCTATCTCCAAAAACAAATCAAGCAGCAAGATCATCTGCTGCAGGTAAGTATAGCTCTGATGATAGGATTTATGTTCCTTCCTCTTCCAAACAGACTCTAAAAATCACTTATTTCATGCAGTGGAGAAGGTCTTGTGTTAAGTAGTTGATTTAGGCCCCTGTATTTCCGTTTTTCTTCTTTTTTGGTCTCCTTGATGGGAAAGACCTGTTTCTTTGATCATCAAGCAAAAGAGAACTACAAGTTGCCTTCATGCAGTTACCTAGCAACAAGCCTCCTCAACATTCAGCTGTACTGAGTGGAGGCTCTTTGAAAATGTGAGGCTGTCATTGTCCAGGCAATATGTGTGGGGAAGAAAGCTTTCCTTCCCACGCTTTGATGCTAGACCTGGATTAGAATCTAGATTCTGTCGTTGACAGGCCATGTGACCTCAGGAAAGTTACTAAATCTTTCTGAGCTGGATCCTTATGTTCCTCATCTACAAATAGGGATAAAAATACTGACTTGATGGATTATTGTGAAGTACACACAAACTCATGAGCATAAAGCATGCTGGACAGCACCTGGCATACAGTAGACACTCTGAATGGTAGCTATTCTTGCTGTCCAGTTCTAGGAGTATAGCCCTTTTGTTAACATCTGTTGAGCACCTGCTATAGAGCAAGCAAACAAGCCCTGTTCCAGGGGTTGGACAACGCCAAGTCTGTTCTTAAGGTGCTCTTTAAGTGGGAGGGGATTGAGATGGAGAGTGGGGAGTGGTGGCTTGCCCAGAGATGTAGACACAACTAAGGCCTGTCGTAGAGGTATGTACAGAGGGCTGTGGGAGCTCAGAAAAAGGCATGGACTTCTCTTCTCACTGTTGCCTTCACTTCTCACTGTTGATTGCAGAATGAGATAGCGTTTTAAGTTTGATCCTCTGACTTTATTATGTCAGGACCAGCAATAATGAAACCATATCCCAGCTGTTGCTGCCTCGTCAGACTTTTATTTCAAACCAATGCATCATCCTCATTAGTTTTACCTTCTGTGGGGTGCTTCCCCTATCCCCACGCCCTTTGTTGGTTGTGTGCGCAGCTGGACAAATGATGGTCAGTACCTGGCACTGGGAATGTTCAATGGGATCATCAGCATACGGAACAAAAATGGCGAGGAGAAAGTGAAGATTGAGCGGCCGGGGGGCTCCCTCTCGCCAATATGGTCCATCTGCTGGAACCCTTCAAGGTACTCTTAAAGATGTCCTCCTTCTAGAACAAACACCATTATGAAGAAGGGCTTTCTTTCTTCCTGAGGTCTCCCTACATTCAAAGTCTTCTCACCTCACCTGAATGGTCTGTTTTAGAACCTGTTCCATTTGTATGGATTTTTTTTTAACCGTTCTGCTGCCTAGGAATGTAAGGAACTTTTTAAGAGCCTGCTCAAAAGTTGAGTTTTGGAATGAATCCTGGAGATTTTAGCAAAGCAGATGAGCTATTTAGGCCAGGCCAAAGTGTGTGTGTGATGTGTGTTCATGCGCACATGTGCACACACATATGTGTACATGCACATGTACATGAATATGGTGTGTGTGTCGGGGGGATGTGAGTGACACAGGAGTGCCATTTCCTTATGAATCATTAGTGGAGCTCTTTGTGTGGCTTTATTTTTGCCTTTTCCTTTTTCAGTTCTTTCCTCCAAGTTTGGGCAGAATATGTGCCCACCTGTTAATAAATAGCTTTTTCACGAGCCTTTTTGCTGCCCTTTTCAGAAAGTCAAAATTACGTCTGCAGACGTCCCTAAAGCCTGGAGATACACAAGCAGTTGGCACCTACCTCCTCAAATTTTATACACCATGTCCGTGTGACTTTGAGAGTAGACCAATGGCTTCATATGCTCTTTTCTTTTTTTTGAGACAGAGTCTCACTCTGTCGCCCAGGCTGGAGTGCACTTCAGAGTCCACTGAAGGTAAATTAAAGTCCTACTTGTTTACCAGCTCAGTGTCATTTTACAGTTGGTTGCCTGCTTGATTTAGAAGGTTATTTAGAAGGTTATTATGCTTCTTCCTGAATAATTTTGCCGGCCCATGCAGTACCATGTATGTCTAATGCCATCAAAGGCCATTAGCCTACCCCAAGTTCCTGCTGTTTGATTTGTGGCCGCAGAAGACTTTGTGGCTCTAGGCTCCCATTTTTAATTCATGAGAAGCAGGATGCCCTGTATATCTGGTGGCTGTCTTCCTCCAGGTAGGGTTCAGGGGCTTCTTTAATTTTTTATTTTTATTTTTATTATTTTTTTTAGACAGGATCTCACTCTGTCACCCAGGCTGGAGTACAGTGACATGATCTTGGCTCACTGCAACCTCCACCTCCCAGGCTTAAGCAATCCCATCACCTCAACCTCCCAAGTAGCTGGGATCACAGCCGCATGCCAACACATCCGTCTAATGTTTTGTATTTTTGGTAGAGATAGGGGTTTACCATGTTGCCCAGGCTGTTCTTGAACTCCTGATCTCGGGCAATTAGCCTGCCTTGGCCTCCCAAAGTGCTGGGATTACAGGCATGAGCCACCGCACCCAGCCCCCAGGGGCTCCTTGACAGGATTTTAAATTATAGTTTTAGTGTAGTTCTAGGCAATGTAATTTTGAACAATTACTTAACTGTCTACAGCCGATGGGAGAGTTTCTGGATGAACAGAGATAATAACGATGCCGAGGATGTCATTGTCAACAGAGGTTTTCAGGAAATCCCTTCTCTGGAGTCAGCAGTGTACAGTAGTCAGGGTAGTGAGGCAGAGGAGGAAGAACCAGAGGAAGAAGACGACAACTTGTGAGTGTGTCCCAATGAGTGAGAACCCTCCTGGTAAGGGCCCAGGCCCCACATAGACTTGCCAGGGCAGATGTTAAGCTCCTTGGCCAAGGGGAGCAGTACAGGGCTTGGGGGTAACTGTGGGTGAAAGCTCCTTCAAGAAAAGGAGACACACCCTTAAAACTTGTGTGGAGGTTATAAAGTGATTCTGTGAGAAACTCTAGGAAATACTGAGAAGTCTAAAGGAGAAAGTTCAGCTTTTCTGATAAAACCCCATCCCCTCAAGAAACCACTGTTAGCCATCTAGTGTATTTCCCTTAGTCTTTTAGTGTCTTCATATAATTAAGTCATATTCTACTTTTTTTTCACGTAACATTATAGTGTGAACACTTTCCAGTAACGTTACAAATCCTTCCAAGAACAGGATTTTTTTTTTTTTT